AAGAAAAACCATGGGCTATAGCCTTGGGTATTTTTCAAAAATTGACTCATTTCTAAAAATGCACATAACTTAAATATATCTGTCGGAATCGGCTCAGACTTTCTATATAGCATAAGGACATCAATACGTGCATGTGTATACCATCTCCTGTCCTATCAAGGAAGTTATCCTCATCACTGTCATAATAGTCGTTCTCTTCCCAATCTCTTTTCTTCCGCTTATAACCTTTAAAAAACACGTCCTTTATTATTCTTCATTACATAGTCTTACTTCTCATTGGATTTCTGAGTACATCTTCATTATCTAATAGTCTGCAAGCTTCCAAGGCACACTTGACAACAGCTTCTTTCTTATTTCCCTTCTGTGATCCTTCAGCATATATTGGTTGACCTGACAAATCTTCAATGGGTAACCTATACATTTATATACATGTAACAGTTGTATTGATAGTCAAGACTTACATTACCCTGACTGTGTAAATCTTTCCATTTGGTTCATTTGTTTCTTCTGTTTCGTATTCCAAATCAATGCCTAAAAATGAAAAGCAAAAAATCATTATTTTTCTTTTACTCTATTCTTCCCCTCTCTCATTTCTCCTACCTTCTCTGTCAAAGAATTTCTTCAATGCTTTCTTAGGGTCGTCAATGTAATAAGCTTCCCTGCCTGAGTCCATCTCTACTTCTTGATCCCTTCCTCTCTCGCTACCAAAATCATCCACTGTCACTAAGAAAGTAAAACATAATGAAATACATTGAAAAAACTACATGTACAATAATCTATCATTTCTTTAGTTCATACGATTAAATAATTTAAGCAAAGAATAACAATTATCATTGCACAGTGTACTCCATCATAACAATACTAAGTACAGTTACTACATGTACATGTACATGTACATGTACATGTAAATGTACGTGTATATGCAAGTGGCGGTAGTCTTACGCAATCCCCATGTGGCGCCAAGTGATTCCTTAAATTGCTCTCTCTCTCTCTTTTCAGCCTCAGCTACTGCCAGCAGTTCCTGATATTCATTCTGTTTCTGTATAATGTCCTCTCTCTCTGCTTCAGCCTCTGCCTCTATTACCTCCTGTACTGACTCCATTGGCTGCTATAATGAGGAAGGGAAAGAGAGAAATATAAAAAAGGGAAGGAACAGAGTATTTAAAGTAAACAGTGAGGGAAGAAAATGAGCAAGGAATACATGTACGGTGTAGATTAAATAAGTGACAAGATTAATGAAAACATACGTAATGTACATTTACATGTATACACTGCAAATATAAAATTAATAAAAATATATACATGTATCTATCAAAATGTACAGTACATGTAGTTTTGTGCAAAATACATGAAGCTTGGACTCACATCTAAAACAAAGATCCTCGTGCTTCCTCCGAACTTCATTACCTGCC